AAGCAAGAAAGAAAGGGGTAAAACAGAAAAGTAGAAAGGGAAACGAATGAAGTGAGCCAGAAATATTATTATAAATAACCTACTGTGTAATTCTGATATTCTTAGATGAAAACTTAAGATGCCATAACTCAGTTATTTTTCTTTCTTGTTTTACATATAATTAAAATCCTTCGTAATTCACCGTTTCCTAAAATCAATAGGCGATCCAGTATTACTGTAAGCCACGACAGTCTCCCCAATATTCCACCTGCCTCTACGAACTCGTCGTGGCTTCGCAAATCATCTCTTTCGCGAGAGTCGGTTTACAGGTTATTTTCACACAAATCTCTTGGTCCCCTCTGTGTCCACGCAAGAAGCCGAGGTCTGCACTCGATATCTTACACTGGCTTAGACAGAGCACTAAAAGCTGACTTTGCCTCGACTCAAGGCAGCCATGAACCATTACACTTGGCTAATGCGGTATGCCAGTATTCACATACGGATGGGTAAGGTTTTCACTTAATGTAGAATCATAATACTCACAGAGAATGTTGATAACAACGAGAAATTCAGCGTCTGTCTCCCACTCGTCGCAGCAAATGGCGCTCTAGTCCCGGCGCAGCGTTGCCAGACGTCTGACCCTCTCCCTCTTTTCAGAAATCTTTGGGCGTTTCTCAAAAAAATTCGTTACCAGCGATTTTGACATTTAATTGTACAGCTTGTTTTTGTTTGTTTCAAATGTTTCTGCAATGAAGATAAGACATGATATTAATCTCCATTACCTGGTGACAGTATGAGAGTGAATATCATGTATAGAATTTATGTAAATGGTGTAGACTTCGAACAACCGAGTCTTTTTGATGACCGCTAAATAACAAGATCTTCCCTGGACTAAGAACACCGAAATGCACATGCGCTGACCGAGAATTTTACTACTTAGCGTCATTATTCAATATACTTCAATTTAAAAAAATATTTGCTCTCTTTCAGTGCCCAATTATTTATAATTTGCAGAATCATTCCGACTCCAAATTACTTCATTCACTATGTGTATTATACTACTACTACAAGGTTCACATACCTCTGGCAAATACTGTGCAGTAAGGATAATTTCAGTTTGACTGATTATGGTCGCATAACCATGCATTGCTATTGTTCAGAGGATGGACATCCAATTACTAATGCATATAATACTTAACCCTGGCCCAGGTAATTTTACTTTAAATGTTGCCATTTACTAGGTACACACATTTATACAAACACACACACACGGATGCCACGTGCAAATATATATATATATATATATATATANAATATTCTTTGTATACCTTTATTTTATTTTCCCTATCTTATCTTTATTCCTGACCGATTGATATCCCATCTATTATATATATCTTTAATCATAGACTTAAAAAAAAAGTCTAAAATCTTTTTATCTTGCACTTCTGTCCGACAAAAAAACCAATAAATAAATAAATGTCTTTATGAAACGCATCGTGAAATCGAGAAAGAAACACGGAAAAAGAAACCGAACACGCGAATGAATATAAAAAAATTCTCAGAACACGTTTTGGAACACGTCCCTAGGGGAATACCCTCGTCTCGCGTGTCTCGGTTTTGTGTAATAGAAACTTTTAATTATCTCGTAAATTTAAAGTTTCTTGGAAAGTATTTGATGACGCAAGTTTCTGATTGACTCTCTCAGAGCCTTAGCACTTGTTTACTCTCTTGTAACTTCATCGGATATCCGGTCGAGAGTCGCATGGCGCGAGGAGGAGAGAAGTGTGTATAGAGTTAAATCAAGACGAAGCCACTGACGATAAGGACGCAGAACCTGACTTAGAGCACGAGTGAAAAGGAGAAAGATTGCGTGATATGTGCCTGAGTGAATAACGGAGAAAGAATATATATAATTATATATACTAAGGTACTATTATAACTATACGCTACTATCAACTAATATATTCATTTATTCTCCACTATAGCACGAGTCAGAGCAGAGTGAGGACGAGTACCGCCAGAGAGAGAGTACTGAGAACGAGAGAGAGAGAGAGAGCTAGCATGTAGACCGACCGAGATCGAGTCACGGATTCACCGAAAGAAAATCAATAACAGACCAAAAAGATCTAGCAGCCCTAGACTCCGTCCCACTTACTCTTAGCACTGGACAATCAGATAGATACGCATCCTACTCGACCCTTTAGCCTTCTTAATCTACTCTCAGATAACGCGATACGATGGCGAGAGTATGACTCAGCCACTTAGCAGTAAGAGTCTTATTTCTGATGGTAAGCAAGTAGAGAGAGAGCACGAGACTGAGAGAGGAGAGACGCCAGTAGAGAGAGGATTGAAGAGAAAGATGAAGAGAGAGCTGATCAAAGGAGCTCTCAACACCGGTGTTCGTCGATAGAGATGTGCAGCACATAAGACGATAGTACGAGTGAATAAGGAGGAGAATAGGGTAGAGGCGAAAGCGCGGAGGAAGGAAAACAACTTGAAAGTAGCTGACATGTAAAAAGAGCGTACAGGCCTGTATGTAGTCTCAAAGTGAAAAAGTCGAGAACACATGAAAACACAAAAGAAGCGCGAAAGAGACCCGCCAAAGACACAAATCAGCGATACTAAGTGCCGTCTAAAACATATCTGGCGATATAATACACAGAGCTCTAGCATAAGTCGACATGCGTTTATATCATATATCAGGGTCCTAAAAAAGTCCATCTACTTACAAATCGAGGAGTAATCTAAGAGAACACATGGGCAATACATTGATATATTCCTAGCATAAACATTGCCAAAGATAGATACCACTAGACTCAGATCGGATATTACAAACTTCTCCTCCTTTCTAATGAATAAAGGAGATCAGTAAATTAGATTTGAAATAAAGAGGAAAAAAAATTAAAAAATAAATTTAACACAAGTAAGTAATGAATGAAATAAAAAGTAATCTAATATATAAATGGATAGGTTGAGGGATATATTGATAGATAAAGTAATAGATATAACAAATTCCGTTATATAAGTTCATGATTTATGCCTTATATATATATACTACTGTAGTAATAATATATATATATATACCTATCCCTCTATTATCTATCACCCTTATGATTATATATATAATACTATATATACTAGTGTAATATTATATAATATACGTATAATATATATATACCCTCTTCTCTCTCTTTCCCATCTCCTCCCCCCCTTATCTCCTTCCTCTCTCCTCCCTCACCTTCTACGATCCCTTCCCTATTTTTCGCCCTAACGCAAAAAACATTAAATTTTTGATCGGATCCAACATAACAACCAGCAAGAATGTTTTCTATTCCTTACGCCCATCTTCCACGATACCCGAATTCCTGCGCGGGAATAAAACAACAATAAGAAAGCGAACAACAGTTCTGGACAGCATAAAATCCCTTGAATCTGGCCGCCCCAACGTCACACCTGATCCCACCACACCACGCCAACAAACATACAACGATCTAACACAGATGGACACTTACACCTGAATCGGATCTTGGCAGGGCCATGGAGTCGAGACGCGGACGTAATGCGCGTCGACCGCTGCGGGGATCAGAGATATTTGTGTAAACTTCAGAAGACTTGGGCACAAGACATAAGATGTTCATCACCACCGATGCTCTTTCTTTCTTTTTCTGTCTGTTTTTAAGGGCGGACACACGAAAAATAGGAAGATATTTTTTATCAAGAGGTTTTTTATTTATTTATTTTATGCACAAATCTGGTCTCTGGAAGCACTGAAATTATCCATTAACTTTATATAAAGGTAACAAAAAAACGAAAAAAGCAAGCCAAAAAAAAATAAGATAAAAGAGGACCACCGCAAAAAAAAAAATAAAAAAAATTAAAAATAAGAAAAAAAAATAAGTTATTATTTCTTTTATCTCATCTTTCCTTCACATTCCTTCTTACATCATCTCTCCTCAAAACGAAAGAAAAAAAAAATAGAAAATCAATCTCGTGCTTTTCACTCCCTTTTTTTTCTCCGAGTCATAAAAATCAATTAAAGATAAAGAAAAACAAACAAAAAAAATTAAGGAAGGTCACAGGTCGGGGACCTCAGAGAGAGAGAGAGAGAGAGAGAGAGAGAGAAGAAGAGAGAGAGAGAGTGGAGAGAGAGAGGAGAGAGAGAGAAAAGAGAGAGAGAGAGAGAGAGGGAGAGGGAGAGAGAGAGAGAGAGAGATCGTACGATGAGAGAGAGGAGAGAGAGAAGAGAGAGAAGAGAGAGAGAGAGAGACAAGACGAAGAGAGAGAAGAGAGAGAAGAAGGAGGCCGAGAGAGAGAGAGAGAAGAGAGAGAGAGAAGCAGAAGAGAAGAGGAGGAGAGGGAGAAGAGAGAGAGAGAAGAGAAGGAGAAGAGAGGACACGAGAGAGAGAGAGAAGAGAGAAGAGAGAGAGAGTCACCCGGCGTCTATATATATAATTTATATATATATATATATACTATATATATATATAATATATTTATAATATATATATATATATATATATATATATATATATATATATATATTATTATATACTATATATATATACTATATACATATATATATACTTCATAATATAATGTATAATAGTAATAATAATAACAAAAATAATTATAATGATGATAGCAATGATAATGGTGAAAATAGTAATAATGATAATGATAATTACAGTGTAAATTATAATAATGATAATAATAATAACACTAAATAATTAATAGTAATAGCAATTCTAATAGTGATGATAATAGTAATGAGAAATAAAATGATAGCAATAGTAAATATCATGA